TATAGAACTGACATCTGATTAAATATGTCTCTACCCCTTAAGTCAGGGGTTCTACTAAAATACAGGAGAATCCAAGACTAAACGTTTACTACAGAGTACAAATTTGGGGATCCTTACATTTTATTTCCTCCTGAACTTGAGTCACAGGCTAAAAGAACAGGCCGTACTGATGGAATTGTACTAACGAGGACCATCCAAAGCAAGCTAGCGCTTTTTGCCGGCTTTCTGTGCCAGTGACCTAGAAACTATTCCAAAACCTATTTTTGTTTCTTAGGGGCTGAAATTTCAGTGAAAAAACCCAGCCAACTCTGACCCAGAGTCTTCAAATTTAGAAATCAATCCCCAAAGAAAGGGAATATTAATTTTTATTGTGACAGAGAATAACCTTCTCCTAGCCCAATTATAGGAAGAAATAACTAACCCTGCAATGCCACCATTCTAAAGTCGAAATTACTTGCCATTTACACCAGGAAGCTGCAAGAGAAGTAGGCTGACAAATATTCTTTAGCCTCCAGAAAGGTTTTCTGGCTTATGGACACATACAAAAATACACAAGTATTCTGTAGAGCTAATGCTGCACACCATACAATTTTAAAAGCACATAAAGAATACTGTAAAAAAGAGAAAGATAAACACCTGGAATTTGCTGAACTAGGTTTGATCATAATATATGCACACATTAAGTTGTGATGCCTCCTACAAATAAAAAATTAATCCATCTAATATTTTTTCTTCCTAAGAGTAGTTTAACATACTGTACATCTCAAGTTGGAATTACCCTAAGTCAGAGCTTAATATTACATTGATCCTTAGACTAATTTGGACATGAAAAAATAACCCAGATTAAAAAGAAAACCTTTAGGAAGAAAAAGGGGGCAAGAAGAATCTACTGAGCACCCCTAAAAAGCAGATACAATGAAAGTTTTCTTCTGACTGTGGGTTATTCTCTTATCTTCACTCATTTCTCACTACTTTTTAAAAAACTCCTACCAGAGATATGGGAAAGGACACATGGGAACATGTACTGAAGAGCTCACTTGACACCCGTAAAACATGTCTGAATCATGAGAGAACTAAGTGTTGAATGGCCGTGTGAAGCATCATCGAGGAGGGCATTTTAGAACTCGGGGCTCACATTCACAGTCCTTCTGCCATCAACCTCCTACCTTGAATTAAAAGTATACAACAGACAATGGGATTGAAGAAATAGTTAGTTGTTCTAATAAGAAAAAGTACTGTGGCTGACCAGTGAAAAATAGGCAACACTGTGCCTCTGATGGAAACTCTGGGGCCTTCTGCTTGGCTTCCCCACAGCATTTCCATGGTGTAAGGTGCTTTACAGATAATGTGCATTATCTGATGTCAATTTTTCTTTTTTTTTGCGGGGGGGAAGTGAAAGATTTCTCAAAGTGTTTATCAAGAGAAGATGATAGGTTTATGGTGATTCCCCCATAAACAAATAGAATGGGGTTACAGAAAAATACATTCTTGGCTTATGACATGATCAACTTACTGATTAGATCAGTATTTTGGTTAACTATTGAAGTACACAAAACACCATGGCAAGAAAGTTTATATTTATGTAACCAACACTAGATACTTGTATTTTTAAATAACATTTCTGATAGCCTGTGCGGAGCCTGGAGATGTGGATAAGGGCAAGTGTGGTAACAGTAATACACTAGATCTGGATTCACACAACCGTTCTACCCCTTTCTTACGTGTGCAACCGACCAGTCATTCCATTCCTCTCGGTCTTTTTCCCTTCCCTAGATGACTCCTAATGTCCCTTCATCTTTAAAATTTTGTGATTATAGTAACTTGTTATAATGTTCATTTTTTTAGGCTCCACTCACATGATTCATCCGAATGCTAGAAGAGAACCAAGACATTCGATTTCCATAGCTTAGAATAATACCTGCTTATTCAGCAGAACTTAAATCCTTTTGTGGAACAGAGAGACGTATGAATAAGGTAAACTGACAACTGCAGCTACACCAGAAACCATAATTGTATTTTGAATAGGAGGTAACAAACTGTTGTTTCCCATTGCAAAAGTCAGTGCATTTTCTGCTGTTAGTTTCCAGAAACTGACAGTTTTGCTGTAGTCCTATCAATTCATACTAATAAAAATAACGATCTTAATTAACTATCGTCTGCTATCATGATCTAAAAACAAATTAAAGGGGCCTAAGTAATACAGAATTGCATAAATAAAAAGTGAATATTTAGAACAGGAAAATAAAATTAAAGATGAGCATACAAAATAAGCCAAGAATGAGGTTCTAATAAATCACCATTAACAGTCTACATTAAAACTAGTATCTTTTTTTTTTTTTTTAAGATTTACTTATTTATTTGACAGAGATCACAAGTAGTCAGAGAGGCAGGCAGAGAGAGAGGAAGGGAAGCAGGCTCCCCGCTGAGCAGAGAGCCCTGGGATCATGACCTGAGCTGAAGGCAGAGGCTTTAACCCACTGAACTACCCAGGCACCCCTACTTCTAGTGGAACCCAAATTTGGCATTAAGTTTTCCAGCATCCTGTGTGAATGAGGAAGTCTACCTGATCAATTACGTAATTCATAGAGAAAAAAAGATGAAAGCAAAAGCTCAGTGGAAATGCAGTTGCTTACTGTTGAAGAAGCAAAAGCTCCTCTTTGGGGGTCTTCACAAAGAATTGTCCCAATAGCATCCTCAGTAACTTTCCTTAAATAGATGCAAGTGGGTGGGTACACAGGGCTAGTCTCAAGACAATTCTTACTTCAAAATGATAGCATCACAGCCACACAGTGGGAGGCATCACAGCATGATGGTTAGGAGAAACTCCAGTCCTACACGGTCCAAGTTCAAATCCCAGCTCTGCTGGGTGACCTTGGATAGGTTATTCTGACCTGCCACAGGTCCTTAGTTTCTTTAACTGTGAGGTGGAGAGAACAACAGCAATTTGCAAAGATTAAGCTAGTTAATAAGCATTGTATTGTGTTACCACTTTTAATGAAGAGCTTAGTAAAAGTAATTAGGGTGGGCACTGCCACAATATAATTGAGTACACTGATCTAACTTGACCCTATAGATTTTAGGACAGTGCTGTCCAAAAGAACTTCTGCAAAAAATCTGTGCTATTCAATAGACTAGCCTCTTCTAGCTATTGAACACTAGAAATGTGACTAGTTTTGCTTTCAAATGTAAAATGGAGTTGGGTTTTAGGCTCAGATAACTGTACTAATGAAGAATTTCTTTCTTTCTTTCTTTCTTTATTTTTTTTAAAGATTTTATTTATTTATTTGTCAGAGAGAGAGAGCGAGCGAGCACAGGCAGACAGAATGGCAGGCAGAGGCAGAGGGAGAAGCAGGCTCCCTGACGAGCAAGGAGCCTGATGTGGGACTCGATCCCAGGATGCTGGGATCATGACCTGAGCCGAAGGCAGCTGCTTAACCAACTGAGCCACCCAGGCCTCCCAAGAATTGAATTTCTAATTTAATTTAAATAACCACAAGTAACAAGTGGTCACCACACTGGACAGCACGGATATAGAAATTTCAGAAAGTTTAAACAGTACTGATCTATAAACATCTTCCAAGGAATATTCTCTAAATACCATTGCAAGTTTTTGATGAGTATTTGGCAATAAGTTCTCCAGATCGTATTCCTTGACATCTAACTGGAGTGTGGCCACCTCCACTGCCAGGTAAACACAGTTCCTACTCCTTGGGCTATGGACCTGTCCATTTTTGATGTGCAAAGTCCAAGGTGACTGAACAGAATGCCCACCTATCTATGCTGTGAGGGAAGCCAAAGAGGTATCCACAGCAAGGCCAAGATCATCCCTAAAAAACTGCTTTGAAGCTACTTGAAAGCACAAAGGAATGGGCTTTGATCCCAGGATCCTACTTCGATTAGCAGAGTTAGAAGTGTTTGGACTTGAACAATTTTATTTTTATTTCTTTTAAAGATTTTATTTATTTATTCAAGAGACAGAGAGCGAGATAGTATAAGCAGGGGAAGGGGCAGAGAGAGAGGGAGAAGCAGTCTCCCTGCTCAGGACCCCAGGACCCCAGGATCATGACCTGAGCCGAAGGCAGATGTTTAACCGACTAAGCCACCCCAGGTACCCTGGACCTGAACAATTTTAAAGGGTAGTTTAACCAGGTGCTGGTCTCTTTTTTCCCCCACAGTGTTCTATTAACTTCGAAAAATGCTATTTCCTGGTGTACCCTCTAAGATAAACTATTTGGAAAAGGTACATCAAGATGACTAAATGAGAGAAGGTATAGTATGGATATGAGTCCCAGATAAAAGTAACAACTGCTAAAATCAATAAAATGATTTCATATAAGTCACGCAATATAAAGGCAAAATAAAGGTCAAGTAATTGATAATAAAACGTGTATTTCAATATATAAATGCTTAGGCACGGCCACACAAGAAGCAATAAAGTCATCAATACTATACATAAACCTGTGATGGTGACTCAATTATCACCAGTAGCACTGGTAACAAGATTTTTTGAGACAGGTACAGTTCTTGGCCAAGTTTTAACAAAATAAAGTAGAATCTTCCCTCACTGATTTCATTGTTGTATTCTTGGAAAATTCAATGTACATTAAAACTAGTTATGTACTGTATGATAACTAACATAACACAATTAATAAAATGTATTAGGTAAAAAAAATTTTAGGATGTTAAAATTCAGTACATGTCTTACACATCTAACACATGGTTGATAATATTATATAATTTTTTCAAATACGACTTAGGTTAAAATTTAAATACTGTAATGTAATACTAAGCACAAAGAAAAGGACTCAAACATGTTTACTGTAAGCAATGTCAACTTTATATGTCATAAAGAGAATATGCAAAAATCAGTTGTTTTAGAGAGGCTAAAAAAAAACTAAAAATGGAGTTGGATTTAAGGCTCAGACAACTAAACTTTTTTTTTTTTTCTGAATATTCAACAGAACATTCAAGAATCATGACCTATGGAACAATTCTTTATTGTGTTAAACCTTCCCATGTGCTATGGGACATAAAACACAGCTGGCCTCTGCCCACTAGTTGCCAGCAACACCTCCAATCATTTCTAAAACCATTGCTCCAAGCCAATCATATGGGTTCTATCACTGCCACCCTCACCAATAACTGGCTCATAAATCCAGCCTTCACTGTCCAGTGCCTGGCTGTGGTTGGTTTGAGAAGAGGAAACATGATGTAATGTCAGCCAATGAAACACAGAGTAAGTTTGCTGGGCGCCTGGCAGGAAGTTTCCTAGGAGAAAACCACAGGAAAGACAGTCTCTTTCTTTTTCTCTTCATGATTACAAATGGATATGAGGCCTGAAAATTCTAAGCTCATCTCAGAACCAGCTGGAGGATGAAGTGAACAAGCAGGAGGGCTGAGCCAGAAGCACAGGAGAACTGAGGTAAATTTGGATTATCACCCTTGGGGTCTACTCTACCTCTACACTTCCAGTTGTATTAATCAGTAACTTCCTATGGTTTAAACCACTTTTAATTTGGATTTTGGTTTCCTGCAGCTAAAAGTACTTTGATACATACATGAACAACTTCACAAGACAAAGAATAAGACCTGGTTGGGGAAAAAAAAAAAAAAAAGCCATACCAAAACAACATTAACAGGTAAGTATTGTTCCTGGACTTCTAGAGCAAGAATACACCAATTATATATGTGTGTATATATATATATTTTTTTACCTATGGTAAATGAGCCTGCATGCTCTTAGTAAAGGAGCCATAGCGTTTATGACTGTGCAATTCTTCTATCAAGTGACAGGCATACTGTGAAAGAATGAACAACACCGTTCACACATGCAGCCTGTTAGAACATGTGAAAGGTAAAAAGCTATTTAATCTGAAAAGAAAAAATACAGCTACAGGTGAAAAAGCAATGCTGTCAGTATGTGTGTACAAAGAGTCCTACACAACATAGAGGCACTGTGGACAAATAGGGTAGTAATAGGGATTAAGCCCCTGCTCTCATGAAGCTTCTAATAAGAGACAAATGAAAAAACAATGTTTATAAAACAATGTTCTGATAAGAGGCAGAGAAGTAGGCTGTCAAGGTTAACTAGGGAAGGTCTTCTGAACATGCCAGAGTTAGGCCTTTAATTTTAAAGGTTGGTAATACTAAGAAGATATGGTAAATGGCACATTAGAGGAGGAGGAAAGTTTTTAGGAATGTGGGTGGAAAATTTAGTAATGTATTACTGTGATGGCAACAGGCAAGGTTCTAGATGACTCCACTGTTAGGTGTATGACAGTGGGGCAGAAGGAAAAAAGAAACTTATAATTGGGGATACAGCCTCAGCTTGGAATCTCTGTTCCACTATGTTCTATCTGTCTGACTTTGGATAAGTCACAACCCTCCCTGTGTCAGTTTTCTCACTTTGCAAAATGGGAAAATGTAGCTTGGGTCGGGGGACTGACCGGCAGCACAAGATGTGGCATGTTAAGTAAAAATAAGAAAGGTGCTTGATCATGGTAGCTACTGTCGCTCTTGAGCCCACATCCTTGTGGATTTCACTCAAATTAGTTTCAGAGCACTTACAAGGCAAACATATGTGAAATTCAATATACCTGTTATATCAGGTTTGAAAAAAAAACATTTTTTTAAACAGGCAATTGTAACCCATTACAAAGAGTCCTAAATTAAAAGAAAACAATGACACACTAAGAAAATGGATTGTGATTAAGAGACTATAAATGCGTTTATTGGTAGTATTACTGAATGCTGAATGCAGAGATTAAAATACAAAGAAATCAGCACTTAAAATCTTTTTAAAATGCAGTATCTTTACATATATGTTAACCAATCCTGCTTATCTATTTAGATTTACAAACATAAAGCAAATTCCAAAGCTTTCATTCTGAATATACTCTGATTCTGAGTTCTAGTGTTCTCCACTCTAAAGTCGGCTTTTATTTTACTGTATTTTATTTATTTTGTTTCTACCCTAAAAACAAGACTTTGTGAGCTGATCCTGAAGCAGTCAGTAAAATCAGGAATTTTTGAACAGCTCTTTAAGAGAGGATAAAGCCACATGAAAGCAAACACCTCAATCCTACATATATAAATACAAGAGAAAATATCAAGAAGCAACGAGAATCACAGAAATGCCAATCCTACTCTAAACTATAATTTCTACCTCTAACAACAATTCAATTAGCAGTAGCTTAGATTCCTTTGTTCTAAAAAATAAAACCATTAGTTCTTTCACTACAATCTTCTGACTACACTCAGTGAATAATTGTCAACTTCATATACTTTTTAAAAACTGAAGAATATGATTTATATACAACAGAGTCATTAACAAAAGAGGCCTTCAAACATACTGCTGAAAGCTGTAAGATCGTTTGAGGACCAGATTTTAATTTACATAATATTGCCGTCCATAAGGAGTTAATGGCACCCAGTACAGTAGTGCTCAACACGGTTACCTCAGAAATGCTCCATCCGTTCTTACATCAGAGAATTACTGACACGGATGAGACTGTTAAGACAATTCTAACAGGGCCTCTAAACAGGATTGCACATACAGTTGTGACAGCACAGCTAGCCTGTAAAGCTGAATTTTGCACAATAATTGCACTACAGAATTACAGTGACAGATGTTCAAATTATCTTTCCCTGCTAACTACTGAGTAGAAAAAGTGTTTCCTGACTATATTTTTGATGAACAGGAAATCTTTGATAAAAACACTAGGGGGAAACGTGAAAGTGAACTAAATGAACTTAAGTTTTTTCACAGATATTAACAACAAGCAAAGCAGTTTACAAAAAAGAGAACCAAAATTATCCTATAAACAAATAAATATAAGATCAAATCAATCATTTTTGAAGAAAACACAGCTAATTTTCTAGAGTTCTGTTCGGTTTGTAACTAGACTTAAAAATATGAAAATAAACCAAACAGATTCCCACAATACTGATTTGCTATACAGGATGTGAAAAAAAAAGCACTTCAAGTTTTAAGCTTAATGTTTCATTCTTTCCCCTATTCCCAGGAAAGAAGAAGAAAAAGAAGAAAAGGGGCTCCTGCAAAAATAAACAAAACCCAAATCAATCAACTAACAAAAAAGTAATCACATAAGAAAATCTTTCTCCTTTTGAACACTTCACTTTAGTTGGTCCATGTTAGGGTAAGTTTTCCATAGCAAGGACTCCTTTGTCTCTTCCTTTATCTTTCATTCTTCAGTCACCTCCACGTTTTTATGAAACAAGGCTATGTGAAGGCATTCTAACAAGTTGGGCTGAGTCAGAGGTAGCTTTAGGATGAAGTATACTTGACTACGGTATGTGGTTAGTTCAAATGACCACGGTGTTCGAAAAGGATTACAATACATAAAAATGCACAAAGAAAAAATGTACAGCCCTCACTGCCTTGCGCAAAGAGAAAACGTTTGAGAAACTCAGGACAAACAGCGGAAGCCAGGAAAGAGACACGGGCCCCACCCCCATGGGCTCCTTTAATGCACCAGTTCAGGCTGGTTCTCCACAAAGGGGAGCACCCCGCTCACATAGTATGCAATGCCAAGAGACAGCAAAGCAATGACAAAGATCAAGAGCAACACCCTCCAGAAGCCCAGGTCCTCGACAAATTCCTGCCATGTGGTTCGGAAGCTGGACAGGACTCCTTCCCCTTGCTGCAGGTTGGGATTGAGGAGAGAATGGCTTTCCATGGCACTGTGAAAAGGAGCAAAGACAAAGGAAAGGGGCATGAACAACACATTCCACCCGTTTCAGAAAGATACAACAGCAACCGTGTTGCTTAGAAAAGCCAAGACAACACCTGCAAGAAGAAAACTGACATATACGTGCTCTCATACATTCATGTACTGATGTATGTATCTGCATGTATCAGGACAATCTACACTCAACTGCCAATTAAGCCGCAATGATTATGTTTCTTGGTTTGGTAGAGTTAGAGTCAAAAATCCTTTTCTAATGAAAAGGTCCCAAGCAGAAGTCTTGACTGTAGGTCAAATGAGTTGTTTTAAACTCTTAGTATCTAAGTTACTTTAACTTTAGAAGAATTCAAAACAAAGATTCATATTTTAAGAATTCATATTAATGAAAATAAGCAAAGATGGGTAAATCTAAAAATGATTTTTAGATTCACTTTTATACAGTGCGTGAATCTTAAAGTCAAAAGGGAATTTTCATTAACTTTTAGTTTAATTATCTGAACAATGAAGGAATTACTTCTTTTAACTGTAATCCTCTAAAAATGGACACTTAGCTCAGTCTGTTGAACATCTAAACAAGCCTAGTCATTAGGAATTCTTCTTAATAGCTTCCACCCACTGGTTGTAGTTCTCTCTTGTACAATAATACAAAATAAGTTTATTTTGTTTCTGCATAAAGGCTGAATCTAGTAGCACAATAGGTAATAAGGTAGCACAAAAGCCATAAGAATAATTCTGGTTTTCAGAACTCTATCAATGAGAAATATGACCCCTGAAAGTAGAAAACAGGTATCTGACTTTGATATGTGGATGGCCACACTGTGAAGAATTTAAAGCTCAGAGCGATTAGCACCCACAATTATGTCACAAAATGCAGGTCCAATAACAGGGTATCATTTAGATTAAAGCCACAATCACCATAATCCTATGTATCAATTCTCTGTTGCTTATAAAAGGTCATTTACCACCCTTCCTAAAACCTTTCTCTTCATATTCTTCCAACCGTCTGGGCACAGAACAATGGAAACAAAATAAAACAGTATCTTACAAACTGGCATTTTTATTTAACCTATAATTTTACTTTACTTCTTGATACTTAACCAGACATTCTTCAGCATTTACTAGTATTAGAGGTCTTCTCTAATCATAGGAAGCTGACTTCCTAATTGGCCACTCTGCTTGATATCCAAGCTTTTCTTTCTTCTATATTAAAAGATGTTTATTCTCTAAATAAGAAAAGACATTTTCAGTGGGAGTCTACATGAATACAAAAATTTAAGAAAACTGAAGCAAGTTCAAAAATAAGATTGGAACTTTGAGAAGGTTTAAACACATGATACCATGATTAGATAAAGAAGTTCAAGAGAGGTTAATTCAGACTTGTATGAAATATAGTGAATGTCCAAGCTGATGTGATCTCATGTTGAAAGATATTAGATATAAAACGAGAATTCCGCTGAGCAATCTCTAGGAGCTCAACAAGCTCTGCCAATCAGAATTTTCCATAGTGACCTTATCCAGTGAAATGTTTTCTACTGAATGCTCATGGTGCAGTAGTTTTTTTGTACGTGTGTCATCTACGGTGTCTTTGCCATCCTATACTCACAAATTTAAAAATAACTATTAAATTTAGGATATATGGGGGAGTGGGAAAATATTTTTCATCATCTTGATTTATAGACCCTTAAGTTATGCTATGTCTCAGAGAATCCTAAGAATGATGGAAAATACTGAGTACATTCAAAACTTGCTTTATGTTCTGCTAATCATCACACAGCTTTGCCACAATGCCATGTGCTAGTTGCTTTATTCCCTAACTTTTTCTATTGGTATAGTTCACATATAAAATTCACCTTGTACAATAAGGCGGGTTTTTTTAGTATATTGACAAAGTTATACAACCACCTCCACTGATGTCAGAACATTTTAATCACCTCTA